TGCGACATATTTCTATTTTAACATTTTCTAAAATGTAGTGCAATATATCTTTATTCCAATATCCTCCAAAATTTGGTGCCATATATTTTTATTCCAATATTCTCCCAAATTTAATACACAATATATTTCTATTCTAACACTTTCTAAAATTTGATGCAATATATCTCTATCCTAATATGTTCAAAAATTTAGTACACAATCTATTTCTATTCTAACATTTTCTAAAATTTAGTGTAACATATCTTTACTCCAATATCCTCCAAAATTTGGTGCAATATACCTCTATCCTAGTATGTTCCAAAATTTAATACACAATATATTTCTATTTTAACATTTCCTAAAATTTGATGCAATATATCTCTATCCTAATATCCAAAATTTAATACACAATATTTTCCTATTCTTACATTTTCTAAAATTTAGTGCAATATATCTTTATTCTAATATCCTCCAAAATTTAATATACAATATATTTCTATTCTAACACTCTAAAATTTGATGCAATATATCTCTATCCTAATATCCAAAATTTAATACACAATATTTTTCTATTCCAATATTCCCCAAAATTGATACACCACATCTTCCCTCTAAAATTTTCCAAATTCACTACAACTCAATTTCATCAACCCGAACCACAACAACCGGTCCCTGAATATTCCAAAATTCCTCAGCAAAAACACGTGCCTCTAAAACGTCTGACACAAGGGTTGAGAAACTTTGTCCCCGGATTCTCAGGATGGAAATCGAAAATCAAATGAAACCGTTCCGAAGCCTGCGGCCCAGGATGCAAATATAGATACGCGAATTAACGCGGCCCAAGGGACGATTTACCCTGGAAACCGAGTCGCGGTTTATTTACGGCCGAGCCACGGTCCGAAATTGTTTTCCCTCTCGTATTTATCGAAACGGGCAATTAGCGATCCGTACGCAAAGACCATGGCCCGGGATATTAATCTCTCCCCTAGACTGTGTGTAACCTGACCGTTACCCAGCGAGCCGAAAGGTTTACAGCCGTGGCAGATGGCGGACGGTACAACCTGTGCACCCCTTTGGGCCGGTTCGAAGAAATTCAATCGGCTTCTCGCGGTCGTAAAATCCGTTGACCCAGCCAGTCGCTGCTCTGTCGTCTTCCAGTATGGTGCGCTTCGTGATCCAGTCATGGTAAATAACGGCTACGGTCATTCAGTTTCAACCGACGCGACAGAACGTCCGCCGGTGCCGATTTATAGCGGACGTTTCGAGTGGTCGGGTAATTCAGCAGTTTCGCGGAGGAAGAAATAATTAAGCCAACCCTTAAATGGATTTTTGACGGTGACAGGTTTCATTTCTCGAAACAGGAGTGATTTAAGCTCCCTTAATGATAGCTTGGGGATTGCATGAAGTTTATCAGCTGAATTGTGGAATTCTTATGCAATACAGTTTTTCTGAATCTATTATTAACCACTCGGGAGGCGACTGACAGTCGCCATTTGGTTTGATGCAGAGAAATTGCAGTTTGATGTTCGATATTAAATTTCATTTAACGTGATTATCCATGAAACGTTGAAAGAGTATAGTATCCCTTGATTTATATATTATTTATGATAATATTAACCCTTTGCGGACGAAGATTCTTTGGAATGTACAGAACCCCCAACAGGAGCTAAATTATATATCAATTGCATAATTGATAGAACAAAAGGAAACTACGTGCTGATCTGCTATTCGAGTAATTAAATCATTCTTTTGTGACTTAGTCTTCGGAATCTGAAAATTTTTGTATGGTATATTTTTGCTTTAATAGTATAAACAATTTTCTGTAATGTATCTTAACTAAAATGTTTTCAAAGGTTTGATGTAACATATTTCTATCTTATTTTCTTGCTTCTTTGTGAAGATGTTTTTAATATAGATGATATTATAATGTTTTCAATATTATTAGTGAAAAGAATAGTTTACACTGTTCTCTAGTGTTGGGTAAGGTGAAGTGACACTGATTTTGATAGTAGAGAGAAGAATGACAGTGATAATAATTTTGATAGTCAGAGGATTTCCTTTTTACCTTTAATAACTGCAAACAAGCATACGAGAAATATAGAGTACGAGAAGAGCAAATTCCACTGTAACTGGAATTTCAACAACGCTAAATCTGATCCTAACTGCTACATAAATTTAGACGATCATGGCGGTCTCTACTGTCAATATTTGCGTGAAGGTTTAACCCCTCCATTTCGAAAGACACGTGTACACTACCGAACACTGGGCGATTTTATTTTAAACCATAGTTTAGTCTTCATCCCCAATTAATGTTCAGCAGCAAACTAATTCTTCATCCCTAAAAACGGATTTCAATTCCCAAAATCAAATTCTCATCCGCAACATCAAATATTCATCCGTGAAAACAAATGTCCGTCCACATAAAACACATTCAACTCTCAAAGAATAAATTCTTATTAATAAAAAAAACCTTCGTTCCTAAAAAGTAAATTTTAATCCCCAAAAAATAAATTTCAATCTGCGGAATCAGATTCTCATCCCTGGTAACAAATGTCCGTCCACATAAATCACACTCGACTCACAAAAAATAAATGTTCATTAATAAAAGACACCTCCATCCCCAAGAAATAAATTTCAATCCGCAAAATCAAATTTTCATCCCCAAAACCGAATCCTCATTCCTGAAAACAAATGTCCATCCACATAAATGACACTCGACTCTAAAAAATAAATTGTTAATGGAGATAACCTTCTGAAAAAATAAATTTTAATTACCAAAAAACACCTTTATCCCCAAAATCAAATTTTCATCCCCAAAACCGAATCATCATTCCCGAAAACAAATATCGACCCACATAAATGACACATGACTCTCAAAAATAAATTGTCCTTAACACATTGCATACAGAAATCTCGTTTCTATATAAAGACACGTAGCTACCTTTGCTAATTACCACAGACCTTAAGAAAATATTAAATTTGCTTCGAATTGACTAGCTATGTAAAATATATTACACAACAACATGATAAACGAAAATATATTACATAAGTTCATTTCACTGAAAATTCAGTTTTCCGAAGATTAGCCGACACGCGATGCGTCAGTGGAGATAAACTTCCGAAAAAATAAATCCCCGACTGATCGACGCGGTGTTTCCTTTTTTCCGTGGTATCGGCGGGAATCAGGGCACGATCCCGTTTGATCGCCCGCAGCCAATTACCGCGGAGTTGACCGGAATTATGTAATCAGCGGTCGCGTCACCGGCAGGACAGGGAATTACAATTACTGGACGGAGTAACAATTAGCCCGCGGCGATCGTGTCCAGTTAAATAAATGGACTGCTAACGTCTGAGGCCGGGAATTAACGGATCTACGATACACGGCTGAACGATACTTCTCCGCGAATTAATATTCCACGTCCCTTTGGAACAATGCTGTCCACTCGTCCAGCCTCTGACACGCTTTACGCTACCTCCTCTCGCTGTCGCCGCTATAGTCCACTGCTCGGAACAAAAGACTCGAGGTTCATTATAGTTTGAGTAGGAACAGGCTTCAAGGAGCAACCGCAGCGGAAGAAAGAACCGAGATGTTCAATGTGGACGGTGGTAATTAAAAGACAATAGTTGTAATAATAATTAAACGTCCTCGCCGCGCGAGCTTCTTGATTCGTCGACGGCCGAGTGATAAGCAATTACTTATTAATTAATCCTTGTCCAATAATAATAAACTATGACATAATATTTGCGTTTCACGGTGTTCACTTTGATTTTCGATATTAATCAAGTGTTCTTGTTTGTAATAGGAAGTTCGATACCTGTATAATTTGATTTGATGTAGACACTTCATTAATATTAATTAACTTGTTATACAATACCAATTCCAAGTTTTGCGATCGTTCGAACGTGAAAATAGGAATAATTAACACTTGACCCATCGTGTTAAATTGACCTTTCGAAATTCCTCTGTAGAAACTCCAAGAGTGCAATTCAGACTGATTCGTTTAGAATTCAGTATCGCTAAAATCAGTTCTTCAATGATTTCCCAGTGAAACATCCATTATCTTTCTAATCATTGCTAAATAAAGAGATGAGGAGTAAGTAATTTCGACTGATTCGCTAGTTTCAGTGTTAAATCAGATTCCGGGGAACCTTTAACCAGTTAACTGTGGAATTTAAAATAAAAAATGGAGCGTGTACTCGTCAAACGCAGGACGAATGCACGTCAACCAAGTTAAGATACTATAATTCATTAAATTAAAAGATGGTTATTCGAAAACATTTCTGTATTATAAATAATGCTACCCAATGTGGCGACATTCAACTAAATCAACGTGCAATAATGATACTGCAATTCATTCGAATGATTTAAAATTATATTTTTTCCATTTCGTGTATTTTGATCTGTGAAATGAAAGATCAAAGCGAAACAAAGGAGATTTACATGTTTATCTAAAAAAATAAGGAAATCATCGCTGAAAGGATTAGTACCATGTCAAGCTTTACGATGATGTGTACACTATTATTTCCAACAATTTGGAATGCAAGAAAATTGTCTGTTACTTTAAGTGTAAATTTCGTTTGAAGACAATACACTGATAGCAAAACAGTTCTTCGCTTCGATCCGTGGTGAACGAACATTGAGTTTGGTTAAATTAGTCTGGAACTTTTCATTACGAGTCACTCGTCATTGTCACTGGTTACACAGTTAACTGGTTAAAAAAAGCTGCTTCATAGCAGCGTTCCGTAATAACGGCCGAGTCCTCGCTTACATGGCGCGGCGTCCTAAATCGAAAAAAGTGATCAAGAGGATCGTTCCGTTAATGTCCCGCGGGAATTGAAACTCGGTCGACCCGAAACGTTAGCATAATGCCTCGCTCGCTTCTATGCAAATGGCCGGCTTCATAACCGGTGATCCGGTCAGTACGCAACAGAGTCGCGGGCAAAGAGTACGCGGTGAATTTTAAGCGGCGATTCTGGAGTGTACCTCTTAATGAACCCAGATTCCCTTTATTTACGAACAGGCCGTCGGAAAGGTTCGGCCGCTCTGTCCCCCGGCAATATGGCCGGAGCCTAAGCCGCGGACTAAGCCCGACGTTCAAAATGGCGGCGGCCTCCGCTTGCATAAGGAACGACTCGACCCTCCTAAACATCCTTCATTACTTTGGGACCCCGCGCCCTGGAAAAAAAGGGCGACCCGAGGAGATAGACGTCGACGAGCAGGTTCTGCTATGAGAAACGAGCTGTTCCCCTTGTGACGGTGAGTGTCGCGACGATTTTTTCGTATCTTTTGCTCGGGCGACGCTCTAACCTTTTGCACTCGGAAGTTTTCCGCTGGAAATATTTGAACGTTTTCTGATGAGATAACGATGACGTATTTTGTGAAACTCGAAGAGAAGTCTGTTTTGTTTCAATGTTTCTCAAATTGATGCGTTGTATGAGGTGTAATGTTAAATGTGAAATTTTATAGTTTTACAGTGCGGAATCGGGAGGTGACTCCACTTGGTTTGATACAGTATTATTAAGTTTGATGTTTAATACTAAACTCTGTATGATCATTGTGTGAAATATCAAATAATAGTTTTGTTTCTTAATTTATCGGTGAAATTATTTATGTTAGTCGCAAGAAGCCTCGTCTATGTTTTATAAAGTGTTGAATATTTGTGGAAAAAACATTCGAGTGCAAGGCTTGCGCTGATTTCTGTGTTCATTGTTGTTCGTGGTTTGAATGTGTTGCAATATTCAGTGAATTAGAATTAATATGAAACGAAGAATTTAATAATACGATAGTAAACACAGAAGTTGATAGTGTTCTGCATAGTTTCTTCAAACCTGCATAAGTTTGAACACGTTTGACAACGTTTGAACCACTCGGAATTCAAAATTTACATTTCCCCTTCTCTCTAACAGTGTATTAATCCTTTGCACTCGGTAGTTTTTCACTATAAACATGCTATGACTTCCAACGAGACATAGACGACACTATTTTCATAAACAAAGCTATTTCATAAAAATATTCCACATATTGATGCATTAAACAAAACTTAATATTATACATAACACCTTGTAACTTTATTGTATCAAATAAAATGGCGACTGAGAGTCGCCACTCGAGTGCAAAGGGTTAAAACGACGAACGAGCAACAAAGGAAACCTAAAACACCTCCAAACTCGTCGCAACACGATAAAAAATTATTTTTCCATTTATCGTACATTTTCCCTCCCTTCTCACTTAACACTGAAACTACCGAGCAGTTAAACTGACTTTCTGACATTTTTCTATAAAAATTCCAAGAGTGCATCTATCCAGACTTCAATTGATTTACTGTTCAGTTCGCGTATTGCTAAATCAAAACATCCGTTATCTTGTTAATAATTGCAAAAAGAAAACAGGAATGGGATATTTTGAGCCGCCAGGTTTTAGTGTTAATCGCCTCACGAGCAGTGTCAGTCTCGGTTCAGCTTCACGCGCGATCCAACGCGCGTCGACGTGACGAATCTCGCCGGTCGATCGAGCCGGATTCTTCGAAGGAAGCCGTGTAACGGGCCGAGAAGATCCCGCGACGGAATTCCACTCGACTCGACGGCGAAACGTGGGACGATCGAACGAGCCGTGTCGTCGCGGCGACGTCGCGTCGCGTCGCTCGGGCAAAACGGAGCGTCTCCGAGCTGCTCTCGCGTGAACGACGTGCGTAAACGGAGCGGTTCGCAGCGTCGTAGACGGGAACGAGCGTGTCCCGGCATTCCCCGGCCGCGAGCGCCGTTTCTGGCAGCGGGTAGAACACTCTCAACAATCTACGCCGCTCCCAGTGCTGTCTGGGAATTTCTTTCCTGCGCGTCGCGGTTTCCAGTTTGAGAATAGTTTGATGCCTGAGCGATCGGGGAATGTTTTAATATGAAGATTTTTCGGCGAATCTACTCCTGCGATGGGGAATGTTCTGGGAGTATGGGTATTGTAATATAGTTGTGAAAGTAATTCTGTGGAATTGTTACTTTGCTGATTTTTTGGACGCGAGTTGGATGCTTTTTATTCGGATGGGGTTGTGTTGGTAAAGTAATTGGGGGATCGTGGAGAAATCTGTGCGTGGAAAGTTTTGGAATGCTATTTATGGTAAATAAATTATTATTATTAGTAATATATGTTTATATATTATATATTTATATATAATATAATTTAATAATATATAGTATTAATATATAATTAATATAAGATATATATTAATATATAATTAATGTAAGATATATATTAATATATATTATTATTAATATATATAATATAGTATTAATAATAATAATAATTATTATTAGGATAACTAATTATCTTCTGAGTTTAGTAATTCCTCCTCAGTTGAATTTGCAAAATCTCCTATAGTATTTCCTATAGTAAATTTACTAATGTAGTAATTAGTAATTTACTAATTTACTAATTTACTAATTTACTAATTTAGTCATTAGTAATTTAGTAATTTAGTAATTTAGTAATGTACTAATTTAGTAATTTACTAATTTAGTAATTAGTTAATTTAGTAATTTGCTAATGTAATAAGTAGTAAATTTACAGTCTAATTATTGGAAGTCAAAGTTGATCCAAAGTTAATCTCAGATTAATTTCAATAATAATTTCAACTTAAAATCCCAGTGGCTCTTTCATTTCCAAAAGAAACGGTGTTAAAAAATTCTATAACAATCTGCGACATTAGACTTCAAATGTCCCCCTTGAATTTCTTTTACACGAGTTCATGAATAATATTGCCGTCTCGCTGAAGGTGGAACCACACTAAATGAATTCGAACAATTTAGGCTGACAGCCCCGAAATCACGCGTACCGCGGGTAAAGCGAGGATCATCGTGAACGAGGATTCGTTAGCCTTACTCCTAATACCGTTCCGTCGCTTAAGGATCTTTGTTCCCGACGTTCCCCGACGTCGGGAACGATTCGCTCGGATTTCTTTGTGGCAAGAATTACTTGGCAATCTTCGCGGACAGTGATTCACCGTACCAGAAGAATTACTGAAATCAGCATCAGATTCTAATGGATAATTGGCCTCGTTACCGCGCCCGACAGTCGAACGACTGCTTCCCCCCCGTCGGGCCCCCCGGAAGCTTACGAAACTCGGCGCAGCAGCGTCCGATTGGCTAGTTCTCCGAGCGGGGAACCGAAGGATCTTAGTCTTCGTTAAAGCTTCTTGAAATTGGACCGTAAAAGTGGTGGGCAGAGGGTTTGGGTTAAAGGGGTGCGTCTCGTTATTCACTGAGGGGGCGGCGAGAAAGGGCGCCATTTTTCGCTCGCTGAGGAATCGTTTTAGACTGTTTGTTATATTTTTTGCATGATTTTCAAGGTATTTTCATTTTTTAACACGAATGCCGCACGATTTCGTGGTACAAAATACTTGAAATGGAAAGAGTGTAATATTAAATCATTTGATTGAATTGCATTGTTATTATTAGGTTCATCTAGCTGAATATCATAACATTAGTTAGCATTATTTATAATGTAGAAATGTTTTCCAATAATCATGGTTTAATTGGTCACCGGTGACCCCCATGGCATTCAACGTGTTAACGTTATTATGGGGGTTGCTTGGAATATGTCCTCAGGAAATAAATATTGAGAACATTAATGTTATGGCTTATGAATGGATTTTATAATATATTTACAAGTTGTAATAGAAAGGGTTTCTAGGAAGAACGAAGAAATGAATGAAATCTTGAATAATTGAGAATATTATTTATTGTATCAAAATCGACAGAAATCAGGAAACATAAAAAATTCGACTTAACCGTTGGCTTCTGGGCAACTCATATTTATTTATTAGTCTACTTGAATTCAATTATACTTTCATTTGGTTAACGATACTATGAGATTCGAGAGGAGTATGATTTTTATTTTTGTTACAATTTTTTCATATAATCATCGTTTCATTGAGAGAATTACATATCATTCAACGTGTTAACTGAAAAAAATAATCTATACTTTCCAATATCCATATATTTATTACAAACCACCCACAGAAAACTTAAAAAATACACATTTCCTTCGACTTGATACTGCACCAGAAAAATGTGCCGATCGTAAAGATTTAATTGTTCCCTAATAAACGATCAACGATAAGGTGGAATTTCAACCGCGAAGCTAACTCATCGGACAAGGAGTTAATGCCGACGACTATCATCGATGAACGATAAATTATTTTCGCGGTACGGCTTCATCGAAACCCGCTAATTGACTGG